GCGACGACGACGACGACGACGACGACGACGAGACGACGACGCCGCCGCCGATATAGAAAACGACGAGGCTGACGCTAACGCTGACGGCGATGGCGCCCACGACGCAAATGACGCGGCCGACGTTGGCGTTGACCGAGGACAGCGCACCCCTCCCCCCCAGTCAGGACCCCCAGCTCCCGACCTGGCGATCTAGCGGGTACTGGCGGGGGCGGAGGGCGGTTCCTGGGACCCCCAACCCCAGCCAGGACCCCCTGGATCACCAGGGGGCGAGTGGGGGGTCCTGGCTGGGTTGGATGTGGACTGAGGGAGACAAACAATGGCATAAACGTTGCAACTCGGAGGTCCGCGCGGATTTCTCGGATCCGCGCTGGACCCCCTCCCTGGCGCGCGGGGCGTGCCAGGGGCGGCGCCGAAGACGCCGCCGGGGGGCCCCGGCGCCGATCCGAGGAATCCGCTCGGAACTCCGCGTTTTTATGTTTACGTCGGGCCCCCAGGGTGCTCTCATCGTTGGCGTGGACGCCGGCGGCGACGGCAAGCAAGCGGGCCGCCTCGCTCGCCGCCAGGCTGTCGTCCGCGAGCCGGCCGCACGTGCGCAGGGCCTCGCCCGCGGCGCGCCGCGCCTGCGGAATGACTGCCACCGCGCCGCCGAGCGGGCGCCGCCGCCCTCGCCGACGACTTCCTCCTCGCCCTCGCCAAATTTCCCCCCCCATCGTGTGTCCTGCTGCTGCTGCTGCTGCTGCTGCTGCTGCTGCTGCTGCTGCTGCTGCTGCTGCTGCTGCTGCTGCTGCTGCTGCTGTAGGCTTCGGAGTCCTCCGAAGGAGACAGCCTGGCCCGTGCGACCTCTCCCACGCTCCATCCTCCTCCTCCTCCTCCTCCTCCTCCTCCTCCTCTCCTCCTCCTCCTCCTCCTCCTCCTCCTCCTCCTCTCCTCCTCCGCCCCGCCCATTCGCACCTCCTCCCCCCCTTCCTCCTCCTCCCCGCCTCGTCCTCGCCCCCCCCCCCTCCCCCTCCTGCCTGCTGCTCCTGCTCCTGCCTGCTGCTCCTGCCTGCTGCTCCTGCTCCTGCTCCTGCTCCTGCTCCTGCTCCTCCTGCTCCTGCTCCCTGCTGCTCCTCCTCCTCCTCCTCCTCCTCCTCCTCCTCCTCCTGCTCCTCCTCCTCCTCCTCCTCCTCCTCCTCCTCCTCCTCCTCCTCCTCCTCCCCTTCCTCCTCCTTCCTCCTCCGCCCCGCCGCCCATTCGCATCTCCTCCCCCCCCGCTCCCATTCTCCTCCTTGTCCCGATGCTCACCCCTTCCTCCTCCTCCCCACCTCCTCCTCGCCCACCCCCCCCTCCTGCTCAAAGTTCTGGGGATGCGACTGGGCGAGAGGATGAGATGGGATTCCCGCCACCGCTGATGCAGAGCCAGAGCCTCCTCCTCCTCCTTATCCTCCTCCTCCTCCTCCTCCTCCTCTTCCAATTTCTATTGGTTCTCAAAACCTGGCGCTGCCATCCCTTTCCACCGCGGCGCCGCCCCACGCGCGGGCGCGGGGCTACTGCCGCGGCGGTGCCGCCGCACGCCGGCGACGGCAGGTTCCGAAGAGGAGAGGTTTCTCTTCCTCCTCCTCCTCCTCCTCCTCCTCCTCCTCCTCCTCCTCCTCCTCCTCCTCCTCCCTCCTCCTCGTCCCTCCTCTCCATCCCCTCTCCTCTCCTCCCAATTCTGGTATGGTCTCAGTCCGCACAGTTAGCCCAACCTCCGCGCCAGCCTGCATAGCTAGAGCGCAGCACCTGTTTAGATCTGGCCACGGAGCTGTTCTGAGACCTCCCCGTCCCACTCCTCCTCCTCCTTCTCCTCCTTCTCCTCCTCCTCCTCTTTCTCCTCCTTCTCCTCCTTCTCCTCCTTCTCCTCCTTGTCCTCGTCCTCGTCCTCCTCCTCCTCCTTCTCCTCCTCGATCCTCCTCCACGATCCTCGATTATCGTCGATCCTCGATCCTCCTCGTGCTCCCGCTCCTCGATCCTCCTCCTCGATCCCTCCTCCGCCTCCTCCTACTCCTGATCCCTCTCCTCCTCTGAGTGCCACAATGACGAGATCGCACGGCTTCACACGGACGTATGCCCGGCTGTTGCACTCAGCAACAGTCGTAGCTGAGCCGTATCCGCAAATTCCTCAACTTGTCACAAAGATACGGTCTCCCTCCAACCAATGTTCTACTCTGTGCCGCAGCGTGCACTGCATCCCCTCTCAAGCGAAGACAGTGTCGCGTTCACGGCCCACAGCTTCCTGTCCCAACTAGACTCGGTACATCAAGGTCACCCCTCTGCAACAGATCTCCAGTAGTCTGTCCGCCCTTGGGCACCGCTCTCAACGTGCAATCGGGGTCGAGGCGAGGTGTTTGCGTTGTGACACACGCGCGTGCCTTCGAACTACGTCTGTTGGCCACCCTCACGACGCGGCAAGCTCGTGTAACGCCCCTATGCAGACCAAACCTCCCCCCTCCTCCTCTTCCATCGCCCTCTGTTGTCTCCTCGCTCGTGCTCCTCCCCTCTTCATCGATGGTCGTCGTCGTCCTCATCCTCCTGCTCCTCCTCCCTCCCTTCTCTTCCCGCCTCTCCCCTTCCCCGCGTCTCATCCGCCTGCTCCTCAGCGGGCATGTGATCCGAGGGAGGCATCGTTATCCTCTCTATGTTCTCGCGCCTTACATCCCCCCCTTCCTCCACTATTTACGTCTCGTCCCCGTACTCCTGATAGCCTGATTGCTACGGCATGGTATGCTTATGTCTGGAGTCCTTGTCCTGCTGTTCCTCATCCTTGTCACATGTGCGATCGAATTCCCACGTCTAACAAAACGAGTACGCTCACGCGCTGCCTTCAAGGTTGGCCGCCTGCTGCGCGGCCGTAGAGACGCGGGAATCGCCATGCTCGCACATCCAGCATTCTGATAGCAACAACGCTGGCATTCCCGCGGGCATTGGAAGTGTGGCCAGTGGCAAGGGCTGAGATAATGATAATCTTGGCACTGCGACGAAACCGGACTTGCAAAGTCGGACGCCGAGACGCAACACGGCGAACTGTTCCAAGGGAAAACGGAACGGCAATTGGAGAGGGTAACCCCCAAGATGGATCACGAGACTGTAGAAGCGGACTGATGTGGCCACCTCGGTCTCCAGCTCCTCCTGCGGCGGAGCCAGAAGACGAGAGATAGAGAACGAGAGAAAGAGAGAACGAGAGAGAGAGAGAGAGAACAACAAAACACAAGTGAGAGTGACAACGCGTCGGACAAGCAGAACAGAACGCAATACGGACAACGTACTTACTTTCCCAATCCCTCCTGTGGAATTGCGATCTGACCTGCTCTCCGCCGCGCTGTGCGCATGGCTCCCTCCTCCGCTGCTGCTGCCGCTGCCAGCACTGCTCCCCGCGCATATTCTGACAGGCACCCTTCACGCCTTGCGTGTCCGATGGGGAGAACCAGCTACGTTACGACCCCAGTGAGAGTGTGCGCATGCGCTCCCCGCTTCAGTTCGGCACGCAGTCACATACACCACACACCTCACGCCCCCCACACACACACACACACACACACACACACACACACACACACACACACACACACACACACACACACACACACACACACACACACACACAACACACACAGACACAGACACAGACACAGACACAGACACAGACACAGACACAGACACAGACACAGACACAGACACAGACACACAGACACAGACACAGACACAGACACAGACACAGACACAGACACAGACACAGACACAGACACAGACACAGACACAGACACAGACACAGACACAGACACACACACACACACAGACACAGACACACACACACACACACCTCACGCCCCACGGACACAGTGGCGGGGGAAAGGGAGCGCATGCGGACCCCGCCTCTATCCGTTGCAAACTGAAGCGCAGAAGGGACGAAGTGTCCAAAAAGCTCGGCTTCCCTCCGCCATTCTCCTCCTCCTCCTCCTCCTCCTCCTCGTCCTCCTCCTCCTCGTCTTCCTCCTCCTCCTCCTCCTCCTTCCCGCCCTCCCTCCCTCCCCGATAGTTCGTCTCCTCGCTCCTTGGTCCTTCTGCCTCCTGGACACTCATCATGGTCCCTCCCTCCGTCGCTATGAACTCTCCTGTTTGCATCTCCTTACCCCAAAAAGTGCTCGAAGGGACTTGTTGGATCCCACTCCGATCGTTTGTCACCCGTTGCTCCCTCCCTCGCACCGCCAACGTCCCGGGCACATGTCGGAGCAAGGCCCGGTGCGACGAGGGGCCCCCCCAAGGCAGCATACCGTTGACTCCACAACTCGCCCTCCTCTGACCTTCCTCCTCCTCCTCCTCCTCCTCCTCCTCCTCCTCCTCCTCCTCCTCCATCCTCCCGCCCCAGGGCGCCCCCCTTCGCTCCACCCCCCGCAGCCCGCCCCGGCCCGCCCGAGCGCGGAGGGCGGACCCGCGCGGCCCAGCGCCCCTGGGCAGGAAGCAAAGGGACCCAGGGGCACACAAAGAAATGCTCACAAATCCCAGGATCCCCCCTATGTTCCAATATGTTTTCTAGGTTCTCGTCTTCCCCCCCGCTTCCCATATTTCCCCCGGCTTTCCTGGGAGTCGACGATTAATTGTGCGTGTGTTTTTCCCTCCTGAGGAAGGCATGCAGCGGCTCGGCCCCAGTGCCAGGTTACACGGCGCAGGCCCAGCCAGTGAGGCCCGCTGAGAGCCTTCTGAGGCGGAGCCGGCTGGGGCGACACAGCAGCGTCGAGATATACCGCTATACGCAGACCTCTGCAGCAGGTGGACCAGAGAACAAACGACACCACCCCACCTACGGCCCACGGGCCGTAGCGGATACCAGGACATCTGGCGTGGATTTTTGCATGGTGTACGCAACGGCCCCCGATGGGCCGTAGCGCAGCATGGAGGGCCATAGGTGGGATGGTGTCGTCTGTTTTTTGGCCGAGCAGGGGGTGCGTTCTGACCAGAATTCCGAAACCAGTCTGGCCGCGACGACGAGGGAAGGGCAGCCGTGGATCCCACGGCCGAGGACGGCGTCGAGCCGCGTGGCGGAGTTAGACGCGCCCGACCGCGACCACGACGCGGCCAGCCTCGCCGCGGCGCGGCCAGGCACCCGGCGACATCCGCCGCTCTCTGCAGACGGGCCCGAGGCGAGGGCCCCGAGATGCCCCGAGGCCAGGGCCCCGAGGGAGCCCGGGGAGTGGCCGGAGAGACCGCCCCGGGTCGGCCCCTGCCGACTCGGGTTGAGCAGGGACCGACCGTCCCGGGATTCCTATAAGCCTGCCACGACAGGTTCCCAGAGCAGTACCCCAGGGCGCTTCTAGACCACACAGACGGCGTGTTGGAGCACAACGGTCCCAGCCAGATATGTTCTACAAACACGTCGTGCAAACCGCAAGAAGTTCTCAGAACCTTCTTTGGTGGGACTATAGTAAAGCTGCGAAGCTTCGCCGATGCATGCCCTGTGACCGAACATAAGGCCGCCTGGATCTGAGAAAACCCTCGGCAAGCCTCAGCCGCGAATGGGTGGTTCCCCGATCCAGATCTGCGGGGCGACAAGAAAGACAAGCTACGTGCCCCGAATGCAGCTCCAGGAGCCAGAGGTACGTCAACAACTGTGGATACACATGACGCCTCCGGCTCCTGTCTGTCTTGTGCCGCGCGGCGACGGAAAATAGAATAATGGCAAAACGGGTTAAACGTAAACTTTTGGCGCTCCGCGCGGATTTCTTGGATCTGCGCCCTCCCTGGCGCGCGGAACGCGCCAGGGGCGGCGCCGGAGGCGTCGCCAGGGGGCCCCAGCGAGGATGTAAGAAATCCGCGCGGAGCGCCAAAAGTTTATGTTTGATAATATTTCTTCTTATCCGAGGCACGTCAACAACTGTGGATGCACACGCCGCCGCCGGCTCCTGGCTGCCTAGTGCTGCACGGCGACGGAGAGGGCGACCCAGACATGCGGCGTCCTGACGTTTGTCACTACGGGGTCCCTGGAAGCCCCGACCCCCTTCCTGAGGACCGGTTTCTCTCATCCCGAGTCGCTTGGGCCCCCCGAGGCCGAAAGCGCCCCAAAAACCTCCCGTCCTGATCTTTGTCTACGACGCGACCATGTCTGGAGAGGCAATCTGAAGGGGCCCTGGGACACGCAATCAAATACACGCAAATAACAGGATTCCCCATACTTTCTCATATTTTCTATGCTTTCGTCCTCCCCCCCTCCTTCCCACATCTCCCCATATCTTCTCAAGGATCGACGATTCACTGTGTCTCCGTGTGTTCTTCCCCTCCTGACCAGTCAGGCGACGGCGAGCGCGCAGGGCGGGGGCGCGCCCCGCGGCCGACGCGCGGCCGCCCCGAGGGCCCAGCGGAGGCACGGGGGCGCGCCGCTCCTGCCGCCTGGCGAGCTCGCCCACGCTGCGGTTGACCTGCTCGCCGAGCTCCTCGGGGCCGCAGGCCCACCCTGAGCTTGCCCCTCCACGACAGGGTCGCGTCGTGACAGAAGTCAGGACGAGAGGCTCTTGGCCGTTGTCAGCCTCGGGGGGGCCCTCGCCGGGCCCCGGGAGCGCCGAAAAACGACTCAGGATGCAAAAGCGGTCCTGGGGAAAGGGTCGTCGCATGTCTGGGCTTGCGACTCAATCTGTTTGAGCTGGACGTTTTTGCCCAGTTTCGGGCCCCAGGACCCTCACAAATGGATCTGGCTCGGAAAATGGCGCAGAAGGGTGGGGTCTTGAGCAGGGACCGACCGTCCTGGCATTCCTATAGGCCTACCACGAAATTTTCTCAGAACCCAGATATGTTCTAAGAACAGAACCAATGCTCTTAGAACATAAGCCCGATGCGTGAAAACAAGGCAACATCGGCCAGAAAAGCTCTGCGAGCATTTCGTGGACACGACCAAAGGTTCTTGGAACATTGCTTGGCAGGCCTATAGGCACGCCGTGACGCTTCGCTACTGCTTGATTGACGAGGTCTCAACTTTTTCGAGGCGTCGGATCTCAGGGCCGCCCGCCGGCCCAGCGGCGGCATTTGGGGGTGGGTCTGCCGACCCGGCCTCCGAGGCGGTGGCGCCGTATAGGCTCGAGCCGCACCTCGCCGAGGCATCGGCGATACGGCTCGACGTGGCGCCCGACTTTCTCCGCGCCGACGTCGCCGATGCAGCCTCAAACGGCGCCAGCGCACCGACGATGCCTCGGCGATGCGGCGCGATCTCGGCCGGCCCCGCCTGGGAGGCCTAGACATCGAGAGCGGCGAGCAGATCCGTATCCGCGCCTCGCGGTTTGAGCCCGCTTCGCCACGACCTCCCCCCGCGCCCGCCGCTCGGCAGGAGCTCGGCGCCGGGGACCGCAGCTGCCGGTGGGGCGCACGACGGCTCGCAGGCCGCTGCAGTGCCGACCGCCACGGCACGGAGAAGACGAGCCCTGGCTGAAACGGGTCTGGGGTTCTGATGTCCCAACCTGCTTCAGCCTTGATCTCCAGAAAGACTTTCGAGCACCAGAAAAGAGACCGAAACCAGCAGATTTTCGCGCGTCGGGCCCTGGGAGACACTCGTCCGACACTGCGTCGACACTCTTTCAACACTTTCCCGAGTGCTCGAAACTATGTCTGCTATGTGGTCCTGAAGTACGACGGGAGCATCAGAAGTCTGGGGATCTCTCGAGATCTGGACTTCTGGGGCACGATCCCGCGGATGCGCGCACGGATGCTATCCGCACGGGCACTCAGGAAGACAGAACCGCGCTCCGTGTCCGCGGGGCCGCGGCCCGGGGCCTCGGCCCGCGAGGCTGGCGGAGAGAGCTACATGTCTCTCGCCCACGGGGAGGACCAGACGCAGGGGCGATGGGCAGCTCGAAAGGAAAATAGGCCGGCGACGGGACTCGAACGAAGCCGCGCCGAGCTCAAGGCCTAGGAGGCCGAGGGCAAGGAGGAGGATCGAGGCTCGAGGTGCGAGGCTCAACAAAAATCTGGACGCGCTTGAACCTCTTCTCTGAGCCTCTGGGGGACGACGCCGTGGCCGTCCGTGCCTTTCGTCGTCGTCGTCGTCGTCGTCGTCGTCGTCGTCGTCGTCGTCCCTCTGCTTTCCCGCCTCCACGTCATCTTCCGTCTCCCTCTGCCCCCCAACCTTCGTCCCCCTCCTCCCTCCTCCTCCTCGGACTCCTCCGTCTACTCGTCATCCACTGAAACCTCTTGCTGCCCGACGTCATCCCCCCTGCTCAGCCTCCCGTTCGTCCTCCTCTGCATATGTCTCTTCTTGGTGCTGTCATAAAGCCGAGTACAGCGGAGTCTGGCGTGTGGCACGTGACCCACACGGTCTATATGGTAGAAGAACGGAGTGAATTGCGACGTGCACAATGAGGAATAAACGAGCAAGGCCTCCATCCCCTCTTCCGCATCCTCATCTTAATCGCCATCGTCCTCCAACTCCTCCTCAGGGTCCTCCTCTTCCTCCTCCTCCTCCTCGCTCTCGTTCTCCCCCTCGCATCCTCCTCGTCCTCGTGACTCATCTTCTTTCTCTTCTGCCCCTGGTCCTTGCTTTCCTCTTCTCCTTATCCCCGCTCGCCTCACGAATCCTTATTTCCCTCTGCTCTTCCTCAACATCATCCGTCCTCCTCCTCATCCGAGGCCTCCTCATCATGACTCTCCTACTCCCCGTCTCCTCCTCGCTCCTCCTCGCTCCTCCTCGCTCCTCCTCCTCCTCCTCCTCCTCCTCCTCCTCCTCCTCCTCCTCCTCCTCCTCCTCCTCTTGAGGGGATCGCGGAAAGCGTCATCGTTCTGCTCCTCCTCTTCCTCTGCCTCATCCTCCTCCTGTTCCTTTTCCTCCCCTTTCTACGCTGATCAGACAGGAAGAACTGAGCTTGTTGACTGTTTCCTCCCCCTCCCCCATCTCCTCCTCTCTTCCTGCCCCTGCCCCTCTTGAAGTTCGAGCCCGGCCGGGCGAGGGCGAGAGGGAGCAGACAGGTGAGGAGGAGAAGAGGAAAAGGGGGGAGGGGAAGGCGGAGGAGGAGGAGGAGGAGGAGGAGGAGAGAAGATGATGATGATGATGATGATGATGATGATGATGATGATGATGATGATGATGATGATGATGATGATGATGATGATGATGAGGAGGAGGAGGAGGAGGAGGAGAGATGAGGAGGAGGAGGAGGAGGCGGAGGAGCGAGGAGGACAGATGACCGACCAGCTCCATGCAGAAATCCCGAGCCACCCTCCAGGACCTTCTAACCCAATCGAGGCCTACCCTCTTCCCAACATCCCCCGTCCTGCCTCGTTTCATGCTGCAAGAGCTGCGGCGGGAAGGATTGCGTGGACGAGCGGGAGCAGCATGGGCAGCCAGGAAAAAAAATTGGACATCGCCGACACATATGCCCACACGAATCATGCGTTCAGATAATCAGGGAGGAGAGTGACTGACGACCAGTACAAGATCCAACAAACCGTACTGTTCGGTCGCGGTCAACTAAGCTTGCGACGCAGAGGTAAGTGGGTCACCCCATAGATTGCACTGCGTACTTTGTCCGCTGTCTGTGGACGCATGCCATCAGCCTCCCTGTCTGAATTCCCCCCTATCGCGAGACATGATATCACTGATGCGTATTGAGACGTCCTGTTTCACCGACCAGTGAACCGTGGACGACAATACGCCACGATAGAAAGCAGTGAGTTGCCGCCATGTGTGGACAATGCGCTGCTGTGCGACGGCTGTGAACGGCTGTCAGCAGAAGCAGTGTGCCAACCTGCACCCCACAACTCAACCTTTAAGTAGCAAGCCTAGTATCAGAAAACAAGCAGGGGGGGTCCTGCTGTGATATCGCCGAATGGTGAATAATTAGCTTGGGACGTGCATCCGTACCCCACCACCACTATCCTTTGCGAGGATGCTGGCCAAAAATGTCGCTGTCTAGACGCCGCCTGGGAGTGCCGTCAGTGCCAACATCCAAACACAGTCTGCACACAAAAAGCGGGGAGTTGCAGTCCTGGATCCCAAGCCCGAGCTCATTGCGGAGCCGCGTCAACTGCGGGGACGGAAAGAGCAGCGCCGGGCGCATAAAGCCGGCCAATGGGGGTGTCGATCCGCAAAGATGCGTCCGAAGCCCGCGAATCCGTACAACTCAAACGGGCAACCGTGATGTGAGGGGGATGGTGACCGAGCAGGGTTCGCCAGCTGTTCTCGCGCACCTTGAGCTCTTACAGTCGGACCGTGTCGTAAGGGTGCGCGAGAAGGACGCAAGGGCCCTGGACGCCCATTTCGAAGCTTTTCGAGCGGGGCGCGGCCAACGAAAGTGGCCAAGAGTGGACCGAGGAGGCAAGGATGCAAGGGTACCCTTGGGAAAGTTGCCCATCCTTACTACGCGGGTTGACTGTAATCGCAGTACGGCTCGCCGCCCAGGCCCCGCCACCACATGGCCCAGAAGGCGAGCACCTGTGAAGGTCTCTTGTGCACCATCCCCGGAGAAGGGGATGGGTCCCAAGGTTCCTGCGTCCCCGCCGCCATATGGGACGGGGGTGGGGGCTGGATCCCCCGTTGAGAACAAGGAGGCTGGACACACAAAGGGCTGGCATCGCTGCGGACAGAAGTGTTCAAGTAGGGAGAATCGCGCTCACGTGGACCTGTCCCCAGAAAACACAAAGGGAATTCATGCTCAGACCACGAAAAAACAAAAGACATTATGGTCGCTCCAAGAAGCCCCAAATAAACAAACTGCCGCGACAACCGCATAGTACGGGGCCCCTGGAATGAAACGCAAAGGGATGGTTTCTTAGAGGGTTTGCACTGTCCTTTATGTATCCAGTTTGGCGCGGCCCGGCGAAATCAATAATGCTGGAAGCCCAGAACATGGAACACAACGGGGCCTGGCCCGCAAATTTGTTTCCAGCCCCCCAATTTCAAGGCACGATGGCATCAAGTCGTCAAGACATCAGTGAGTGCATCAAACCATCAACACACCAACGCATGACGCGTCAAGACATCAAGGCATCATCCCATCAACAAGACACGCATCCCTCACCCGCGCCCCCTCGTATCGGCACCCCCACCACTCTTCTCCTCCACCCTCCCCCCCACACCACCACACACACACACACACCACACCTGCGTGGGGGGGGCAGGGCCGCTTGTGCCAGATCGAGTTCCACACCGCCCATGGCGACCCCCGTCATAAGGGGACATCCGCAGGAGCTAAGTTCAGGCTTCAGCTCTACTGGGGGAGGCCGAGGGGGCTCTGCTGGGGTAGGGGGGGAAGGGGGGGGGGCACCACATTCCCAATGACGGGCCCAAGGGGCCCAGGAGACCACCAAGGCAGTCCAAGAGGCGCAAGAGCCTGCTCAAGCGCGCCAAGAGGGCCCCTAAGAGGACCCCCAAGAAGGCCCCGAGAAGCCCAGATCGGGCAACTCCCTTGGGTGTTCGCATGATGTTTCAGAATATCGCCTGTTTGGTCTGACGGGCGCCCGAGACGGTCCCAGAAGATCCCCAAGACCGCCCCTATACAGCCTACGAGGCCCCTATCAGGGCCCCAAGACGACACAAGAGGGTTCGGTGCCTCCCAAGACGACCCCAAGAGGAGGCAACTGTAAGAGGGCCCAGCAAGGGGATTCACCCCAAGATGACCCCCGACTCCGTCAAGATGCTTCCGAGGCGCCCCCATGAGGCCCCAAGAGGCCTCCAAGAGGCCCCCAAGAGGACCCAGGAGGTCCCCAAGAGGCCCCCCAAGAGGCCTCCGAGAAACCCCCGAGAGGCCACCAAGAGGCCCAAGTGGCGCCGCTTCGCGCGCTGTCAGGCCAAAGGTGCGTGGCCTGATTTGGTACTGCTCGGAGGCGAAACCGCTGAACTAAGAGCCAACCAAGACCACCGAACACCTCGAACCTCAAATCTCTTCTCTCCCCGCTACGCGGTTGCTGCCCTCAAGTACCAGGAGCGCCCAGGAACGGCAGCACAGGCTGGAGGCCATGAAACCACACATGCGCGTATCATGCTCATATGGCCACCACTTCGGGTAACAAGGAGGTTGTCCATTTGGGTCGGGTCGAAGTCGGCGGAAACTGGTTCGGCGCCACGGAACACTTGTTTGGCCATCCATCTGTGAATATCGCGATCTGCCTGTCGATATCACTATCGATCTCCCTCTATCTCCCGATCTCATTAGCTGTCGGTCTCACAGTCGACCTCAATATCTTTACCACTCTCCCTATCGATTTGTCGATCGATCTCACTATCGATGACACAATCGATCTCACAGGACACCACGGGACACCGCGGGACACCACGGGACACCGCGACACCGCGCCACGGGACACCACGGGATTCCCCCGAGCAACCACCGGTTAACCAAGGCGAATCATTTAGCCCGGTTTCGTCGTAGCAGCGGCGGGCTCATTCCTCTCGCCCGCCCACGCAGCTTCGACTTGTCCGCACGCGCGACACGAACATGAAACCGAAACCGATTTCCCCATGGGGGGATGTCCGTTTCACTGCGATCTCACCCCCAACCTCCGATACATGTATTTGTATAGATCTGCAAATCCACACAGACTTGTGTATATATGTATATATACATATATACATATATAATTGTGTGTATAATTGTATATATATATATCAGCCACCGTGCCTCTGGGCACGGAGTGGACGTAATCCTCGGAGCCTCAGTCCTCAGTCCTGAGGAGTCTTTAACAGACCCAGACTCAAAATTCCGAAATCTCTTGGGGCTTGTCGCGTCATGTCGCTTAATTTTTTCGGAGTCAAGAGGACCCCAGGACGGGCCCAGAGGGCTTCGAGAGGCTACCAAAACGGCCCAAGAGGGCCCCGGGTCGCCGAAAGATCGTTCCAAAACGCCCCAGATGGCCCCGAGACTTCCCAAGAGGCCTCCAAGATGCCCCAAGAGAGGCCTCCAATGTGCCTCCCAAGAGGGCCCCAAGAGGCACAACTTTCCGCAGGTTTTAAACTAACAGCGAAGACTGATAGGTTTCCAGTAGTGTCAAAAGAGAGCATCTTGACTCTCCAAGGGGGTCTGGGCGGGTGCCGGGGAGAATCCGCGGAAGTCGTTTTAAGCAAACAGTTACACACTTCGTGGTCTTCGAGGTCCCAGAACTCCATTCCTGGGCATGATTTTGAATGCCCGGAGCCAACTGTAGGCCACTTCGTGGTCTTCGAATCCCAGAACTCCATCCCAGAATGCTGTAGGCCACTTCGTGGTCTTCGAGTTCCCAGAATTCCATTCCTGGGCATGATTTTGAATGCCCGGAGCCAACTGTAGGCCACTTCGTGGTCTTCGAATTCCCAGAACTCCATTCCTGGGCATGATTTTGAATGCTCGGAGCCAACTGTAGGCCACTTCGTGGTCCTCGAGTTCCCAGAATTACATTCCAGGGCATGATTTTGAATGTCCGGAGCCAACTGTAGGCCACTTCGTGCTCTTCGAATTCCCAGAACTCCATTCCTGGGCATGTTTTTGATTGCCCGGAGCCAGCTGTAGGCGTCGTCGCCGTCGTCGCCATCTTGGGCGGACTTGAAGGCCATCTCGGACCATCTCGGAGACCATCTTGGGCCAACGAGGCCATCTTGGAGGCCTTCTTCAACCGTCTTGGAGGATTATTTGGGGGATTGAGGTCCTGGGCAATCTTTTCAGGTGGCCGGCGGGACGGGCCGAAGCCCCAGGGGGAGTTCTGTAGGAACAAAACCAAAACCAAAATCGAAAGGGTCCAGCACGCCGGGCCCCCCTGTGGCAAGCCAACAGGGGGCGGTGGACTCCCCCTGGGGCTTCGGCCCGTCCCGCCGGCCACCCGAAAAAATTGCCCAGGACCTCAATCCCCCAAAAGATCCCCCAAGACGGCTCAAGATGGCCTCCAAAATGGCCACGTTGGCCCAAGATGGCCTCCAAGTCCGCCCAAGAAGGTACAAGACGGCCTCCAAGACGGCCCAAGAGAGTCCAACATACCTCCAAGGTCGCCCGAGAAGCCTCCAAGACGGCCCAACACGACCCAAGAGGCCTCCAAGAGTTCCTCCAGGAGGGCCCGAAGACGCCAGAATCATTGATTTTCGTATGGTTTTTGAAGGATTTTGGCATTTGTTTCTTCTCAGCATTCCGACGGCTGAAGACGGCCCAAGAGGCCCCAAAGATCGCCCCAAGGTCGCCCACGAGGCCTCCAAGATGGTCCCATGACGGCCCAAGATGCCCCAAAGACGGCCCCAAGAGGGCCCCCAGACGGGCCAAGAGGCCTCCAAGACGCCCAAGATGACCTCCAAGACGGCCCCGAAGCGCCCCAAGAGGGCCCGTCCCAAGCCGGTTCAGAGAGGCCCCAAGACGGCCCCCGACGGAATCAGACGGGCCAGGAACGCCCTAAGACGGCCAAAGAGGCCCCCGAGAAGTCCCAAAGAGGCCCCAAGAGGCCCTCAAGAGGCTCCAAGAGAGCCCAAGATAGCAGCAACATGGCCTCCAAAAGACGGTCCCAAGATGGCCCAATCGAGCCCAAGAGTGCCTCAAGAGGCTCCGAAGAGGCACCCTCCCCCTTCTCCTTTTTCCTCCTTCTCCTACTCTTCCTCTTCCTCCCCCACGTGTTCCCCGAAGGCTTTCCAATTCGACTCGGGGAACACATGGTCCGATAGCTTCGCCCCCCAAGATGTCTCCAAGACGCCCCAATATAGCCCCAAAAGGGCTTCCAAGACAATCCAAAGTTGCCTCCAAGACCGCAAAGACGGCCCAATAAAACGCCTGAGTAGCCTTAGAGGCTCCCAAAAGGCCTCCTCCTCCCTTCTCCTGCTTCCTCCCTCTCCTCCTCTTCCTCCTCCCCCACCGTGTTCCCCGAAGGCTTTCCGAACCGATTCGGGGAACACATGGCCCGATAGCTTGCCAGGGCTCTGGCCTCAACGTTCGGCCACGTAGGCGCTTCCGACAGGGCACGGGGGCGGCGGTGACTCGCCGTGGGCGTTTCCGACAAACACGCCGAACATTCACCGAACAGTGCTGACACGTTGCCGCCCCGTGCCGCCTCGTGGGCGCTCGT